GAGGTGCTCGAGCTGTCAGTCTGTCCACACAACTGTATGACAGCTGCTCCTCAGCAGCTGTTTAACCCTTTCGTTGGTTTTGAGCATTTTCAGGTGATGGGTAATGACCTCAGCCCTTGGAAGGTCTTACCAGTTTTGTGAAAATCAACACCTGCTAATGACAAAATATCAAAATTGGGGTCTGATTGAAAAGAAGTCAGGAGCAGCTGTAAGAAAACACGTCAGACAGACAAACAGTGGCACAGCCCTGGCTCTGGCTGCTGGCTTTGCAGCAGCTCAGGAGGGCACCCGATAGGGCTGCCAAGAGAGGAGGGAGAGGGTGTTACTGAAGACATGGCAAAATGGGGCTTTGGTGAGGCAGGGTACAGATCGTCAGGAAATCAAGCTTCATTAGTCCCTCTGCTCACAGAATGAATTTGTTATTAGGACTATAGTGATGTAGGTTTATATAGGTGTGACAGTAAAAACGTATCATTTTGATCTTCAGTTTGCTTGATCTTCAGCGTTTTTAATCCACAGCATCAGCCTGACTGATTTATTACTACTTATAAACCACACTGACAAGGACTTCATTTTAACTCCATGCACAAATACCCTGTTCCTAAAATATAGAAGATGCACCTTGGCTATCTCTGTAAACAAGAGATTAAACTCTCTTCTGATTTTGTGACATTGTCTCTCCATGCCTTCTCAAATATATATGACTGATCTAGCCTCTATCTCATCAATTTTCTAACGTAAGGAAACTATATCATGCTTTTTTTCTGCTTTTCATTCCTACTGAAAAGCTGGTATTTAATCCCTACAGATATAAATCTAGATTGTCTTCCAACATATATTACCATTCATATCCTATTTATTCTCTACTATGGTCAACTGTATTAACTTCATAACGACATGTAGCGTTGTTTTTCCTAGCCCTGACTGTGTATGGGATCACTGACCTACCATCACCACTCTTCTGACTATGGCCTTAGGTTTTTACTCTCATTTTCAAACATGAACAAATTAAATTCTGACCTGGTTCTAACAGCTACAATGTAAAAAAATGTATTTGTATAATATATGTTGAGGATGTAAAGGTTGGCTGCTGAATCCCATGAAAACCAGTATCCAGAGATCCCTTCTTGCTGACCCCTGCAGCCCAGCTGGAGGCACGCAGGGACTCAGGAGATCTCTCTGCCCCCATCCGATGGACACAGCTCCTGTCCCTGTGTGCAGCTTCGGCCAGCAGCAAAGCTGAACATCTGTCCCAGACAGGCACACACACACGTACACACAGAGGGCTCCAAAGCAGCCAGACATGCAGACTACTGGACAGACCACTGCCTTTAGCCGCACTCATACAAAACCAACAACCCTCACTAACATAAGCCTTACTTACATTTTGTAAGTAAGGTCAGTCCTGTTCCTCCTCTCTGGCTGACCAGGATTGAAGTCCCCTATGAAAACATATGTACCCTCATTTCCTAGATTCAGAAGCACAGCCACACACACAGATCCTCGAATATCAGCCCAGCCTGTAAACCCCTCTAATACCCATGCACCAGCTCAGTAAGCAAGTCTCCTCCTACTTGCCAGCCAGTCCAGGTTGAAGTTTGGTGGCAAACAGAGGCATCCACTACACACTCATCTCACAAGCACCCCCATAATCACAGACCACTTGAATATTAACACAGCTTCTCAGTCCACCCTTTCTCTGACTCTGGCTCCCCTTACCCAGCACAGGCTTTGACTTCGAGTCCTTCCACATGCAGGCTTCCTCCTCCTCACCAACTAGTCCAGCTTGAACTTTGCTAGCAAATTACACATACGTGTGCACACAGGGTTGAACTCACTGGGGGAAAAATAAACACACTCAGGTATTTATAGATGCTGCTGTTTAGACCTCTCCCATCTAAACATACGCCCTGGTCCCTCCAGTTGCTGACACCTAGACCTACAAGCCTTATGGCCCACGGTCCCTCCAGTTGGGACCACTCACACCTCTCCTGGACGTCAGTCTCTCTAGTTGCCAGCACCAAGACCTATGAGTCCCTTCTCCAGCTGTTAGCACTCAGGCCTTGCAGCACTCACATATAGCACAGAAAGTGAGATTACACAGAAAAATAAATAAATTTTAAAAAAGTTAAGTAACTAATTTAGTAAGAAGATAGGACAGACTGCAGAGATCAAGCAGAGGGCTGGCAGACAAGGCTATTTCCTGGCAGCTCGCACACACGACCGGCCCCTTTAACACCCCTCTCCTCTTCTTTCCCACGCCTGCTCCTCCCCAATCCACCTTGATCCTCCCTCCCGCACCTTTCCCCACCTTTGGCCCTTCCTCTAAACATCCTATAACAAATTTCGCACAGTCCCACAAGCCCCTTCTGCTATCCCATAACGAGTTTTGCACAGCACTCCCTCCCTCCCGCCTCCCCCAAGCACCCCAGCGCTCCGAGGGCAGCCTTCCTCCCCCTCCCCACCGCTTAGAGAGCTCCGGCTGCCCCCTGCCCCGCGGGGCCCGAGGACCATGGCTAATGGCCCATCGATCAGTGGCTGAGGAGGTCCGGTCCTTCGTATTGTCTCCCTTATCACCTGCTGTGAGGTTTGTACCTGCGTGTTTATTTTATCACTTTCCCTCCCGGTGGTCTTTCTTCTAAACTGAAGAGTTGGAGGCAGATAAGGAGGTGGATGCTCCCGCATTTCCACACACCCTCTGAATACACAGTTTGAGAGCTCCCGAAGCCTGACGTCGCCTTAGGGGGGAGAGGGATCCATGAGTTGAGAAGTTCATGACTCAATGGCTTTGTACAAGCGAGAGGGAAAACCCGCCCAGAACAACGAAGAGACCAGGCAGCCTAGAATGACACAAGGCTGCAGCATCCCCTGTCTTCTTTAAAGCATGTAGTTCACTCTAATTGCTTACTGCTTTTCAATATTTCTATGGTTTTACAATGCAAAATATGGAAGTTGATTCAGAAGATGCAAACAGAAGTTTATCAGGTCACCAACCTGCTATTGTGGGCAGCACAGGTGTAGATAGACAAGCAGGTACTTGATACTGCTGGAGGAGCTCACTTGAGTAAGAGGTCATCCGAGAAGTTCGGCAGGGCGCAAAGGCACATAGAATCACAGAATTCTCATATTCATAGAGTATGAGGCTGTGCAATCATAGAAACATCTCCCCTGCAAGTGAACTTCAGAGAATGTGTTCCCCTGCTCTCCCTTTCACTCCTGTCAAAGTTATGAGAAAATGCAATACCATTCCCAAAGGTAATCAGCTTGCAGCTTCAGATCGCTCCTCTCTTGTTGCCCAGTAATCCCAGGCAGGACCTGGCTCTCCTGCAAAAGTACCCACATCAATCACATTTAATAAAATTGTACAGCAAGTCTGAGTCAGCTATAGCGTCTGCTTGATGTGTATTCCCGTAATGTCCTGAGTGATGATCTGGAATGAGAAACTAGACTTACTGTGAAAACCTGTGCTGCTGATGTTATTAAACTCATCCTATAGACCACCCTAGTGGATTACCTCCCCTTTGACCAAAAGTAACGTTGAAGTAAATGAGACATGGATAAAATATTAGGGAAAAACTTTCCAGAAGATTGAAATTTTCCAGTGTAGTAAGAACAGTGAAACAACAAGATCAGCCTCCTTGGAAGATTCTGGAATAACCACTGGAGGCTTTTTCAAGAGCAAGTCAGGCAAAATATCTCTCAGGAATGGCATGGTGCAGCTGATTCTGCACTAGGACATGGGACTTGACCAGATCAGTGGTTCCCAGGGATGAGAGACTGAATCAAGGGGTTAAGGCATGGAGATCAGCCTAATAAGGTTTACTGGACGTATGCTGAATAATGCTTCTCTAAGAACCTCATCTCTCCTCTCTATGAGAATTCTTTTCTTCTCCACAAAGCCTCATGATTGTATTCTTAGATCTTCTGCATTTGCACTCCAATAGGCAGAAAGGTGGATGAATAGTTGATTTAAAACATCATTAGATCCTGCAGGTGTTGGGTTGCTCAAGTGCCCCATCACAGCTTAGCCCCAGAGGCCTGCCTAAACTGCTTCAGTCATTCGTCGTTGCAGCAGCTATCAGCCGTGGCCATGCCCCAGGACAGACCAGCCACCCTCACAGCCAGAACCCGAGGCAACCTTCCCTCTCTCCATTAGAAGCTCTTACTGCTGCCTTCACAGCATTTGCTGCAGGGAAATCCCCCACAGATATATCTGAGTCTTTTTGAGACAGTACATTTAAACCCTTGCAGCCAGTGACCATAGCACGGCTGATGTTCTTACCTCAGATAACAGGGTGAAGAACAGAGGAATTAATTCACTTCAGTTCCCATGAATGGGCTCCAGACCTGCAAGCAGTTCCTCCAGAGACCCCAATGCAACCCACTACAACTGAACAAGTGCTATGGCTAAAATCCCAGTTTATGATTTTAAGGTCATATATTCTGAAAACGTATTCTGTGGTCCTCTTTTCACCTAACATATTCCTTGCCTTTTCTATCTGCATATCTGAGTCCAGAACACTGCATTTGGGAACTACTAAAGCCCTATACCATGCTGTTCAGGCATATCTTAAACAGTTAATACTGTTGTACCACTCCTCTATGCCACTTTTGCTAAATGAAACTGTACAATTCTTGATAATGCCTGATTGTGCACCCATTTATCTATCTATATAGGAGGAGACTAAGTTCAAAGAAAAACAAAAGACGGCACAGAAAGACAGAGCACTGCACATAGATGACATACTGTTAAACTTTCTGCCCACAAGGTAAAGAAAATACAGAAGAGAAACGGGAGAAACAAAATGTTGAGTCTCCAAAAAAATCTAATCACTACATGAATAGGGGGAAATTATTGCTTCTTTTTCTGTCCTCTTTCCCATCCCTCCCTTCCTCCTTCCCTCCCTCTCCCACAAAAAAAAAAAAGAAATCTAGAAATTAACTGCAGCAGAATCTTTTCTTTTGTTTTAAGCTATTAAATCATTTTTCCTCAAGAAACATTGATGATTTAACTGACAGTTTATTTTAAAAATAGATCAAGCCTTCAGTTGTCATGCAAGTGCTGTATTTTATCCCTAATGGAAATAATTAAACTTAAATGCATGAAGAAGCAAAGAGGAAATAAAACAGCCATCCATCTTATTCAAAGGTCTACCCAGTGTCTTGACCAGAAAATAGAAGATTTTACACAGCGGTGCTATAAAAGCTGAAAAACAAATATTCCGTTCACCGTTGTCCTTGGTCATTAACAAAGGGACAGGCTTTAGGATTTATGATAGTAGCAGGTACTGCAGTGACAATCTGTATGGTTCTCTATCTTCACATTGTCCTTAAGGGTAATCTTAAAAGAAAAGAAAAGAAAACACACACACATGACAAATAATTAGGATTAGCTACACAGTAAAAACGATATTTTCAAGTAAAATATGTCTGAAGCCTTTTTCTTAACCCCAAAGTACATAGGCTTTTTGGGGTACCCGTACAAGAATGCCCTCTGAACACCAATGTGCGAAACAGAATCATCAGTGGCTTTCAGACCCGTAAAGAGAAGGTTTTCAATAGCAACATGCATAGTGACATAGTTTGGTGTCCTTAATTTGGCACTTCTTAAAGTGTCTAATTTTCAAAAAGTGTCAAGTAACCAATCTATGAAAAATCAGGAAGTGTCCTTAAAATATTTCACATGGGGATTATAAAAATGGAGACCACAAACACGATGAGTCATATTTATTTTTAATCTCAATCAAACTCCAGTTGCTGGCTCAGGGCAAGTATAATGTTGGTGGTCTAGAAAAAGATCTATGCTCTACTCAGCTGAAGAGCCAGGTCAGCTGAAGAGCCAGGATGGGTTCAGCTGTAGGTGTCTATAGGTAAGTCAAGTGTCTGGGCTATCATCACAGCCAATGCTGATCCAGCGCTCTGCTCAGCTGCGCACACAGAGCTGTTGATTGCCATTTGAGACATCAGAGAGGATGCCACCAAGCCTCCAGCTGTCACTCCAGAAGGTCTTTTATGTGTCCTGCGTCTGCCAGCCATATGCAGATGTCTTGAGTACTCCAGGGTATCTCAAATGGCACCCAAGCTGTGAGTGCATAACTGAACTGAGCCTCTAGCCAACACACTCAATCAGCCTGATTCAGATCACCACAGGATAGACACCTTAGCTTGTTTCAACCAGCTCACCATTTCTTACATCAAATTTAAGGTTTCTTCACCTGGAGCTGCATCACTCCCAAAGTAATTAGCTTTAGCAGACTCTCTAAGTGAACCTTCCAGATGAGAATGTTAAATGCTCAAAGTAGTTGCACACATTTAGTTCCCTCTTGGTTACACTACTGACAGTAAACACAACCTCAATTAATCTAACGAGCACAGATGGTTTTGGTTCCTCATTCCCGTATACGTAATTGATAGTATTGACAAGCCGCCTTCCCAGAAAACTCCTGCCTATGCAGGAAAGACATAGGGAAAATGACTAATTAAGATCAAATACACTGCATAGCATTAAAAGGGTGCACATCCAGGAGAGTCAAAACCAAGGGGACAAGAAGTCCAACACCAGAACTTCGAGTGTCACGAGTCAAAGTAGTTTCACTGAAGTCAATGATACTGCATCAATTTCCGCATCCCAGTTGAATATCAGACTCAGTACTGGCTGACATTTTAATTTCCTCTTTAGAAAAAAAAAAAAAGAACTCAAGCACAAAGGATATGAATGCCAAGGATGTTTCCCTCAATAACTCTCCAATGTCCTCCAGCAAAAACATATTCTTTCATACTCACTGGTTCAGCTAAACATTGCCTCCTAAAACATGCTTAAATGGGTCTCATTCACACCCTCACCTTGGTAAAAGCCTTTGCTACGCAGCATGTTGCTTCTGACGTAATGTTCTTTGGAACGAGCATGGTCTTCTTGGACCTCATTGGAGTGGGATAGGCCCGGGAGAAACAGCATCCAGTGCACTGGTAAATGGGCGCTCCTGGCTTGGAAAAGAACCTGTTCTCCCCTAGCTTGCACTCTGGACAACCTGCCATAGAAATATAAGGAAGAGACTTTTACTTGTATTCTCATTTTCAAAAAGAAAGGGAAAGTACAGGTGGCAAGAAGAAGCACCGGCCACGCTCTCCTGCTTGACATCTGCCAAGCAGAAAAGTACAGACACCAAAGCTCCTCTCTTTAGAGTCCTTCAACTCTGCAACACACACTGGCTGTAAAACTAAAGATGGCTTTCTAGGTAAGGCATAAGCATTACTGTATCCTTTCTGGTTTTCTAACTCAGTTTTGTCCAGAAGACCCTTAAAATCTTCCTAATACGCCTCTTTTGTAGAATGCCACACCACCAACATCCCATATTCTGGTATCTACAGAGGAAAAATATTCTGCATATTATGAGGAGAAGCTATGGTTCTGCTGTTCCTGACATTACGTTGCCACTTAGATGTCAGGAGTCCAAGAAGCCAAAAGGCTTCTATTTGATAATGTTTCAAGGATTAAGATCACCCAGGTCAACATGAGGACACGGTCATCTGGGAAACTCTTGACCTGGAGAAATCAAGTTTAGAGAAGAAATAAATTATCTTGATTTATTACAACTTCATCTATCAGTGTCAATAAATGCAACTGAACAGTAAGATTTATGACCACATTTATAAAACATGTGAAAGTTTAATTAATACTCTTTATGAACAACTGCCCTATTTCTGAACGCTGAAAGCAGCTTACCTTGCATGAGAAACTCTCCATCTGGGAAAGCATGAAGAAGATGCAGAAATACAGACAAAATGGTCAAAGTGACAGCTGCATACTTCCCATAGCAATCCATGGCCTGTCCAGAAACACAAATACGCCCATTTTTACAGGACTGTTTCGCATGGAGTAGAGTACCAGTATCTAGGCTACACACTGATAGAGCATTCAGTACAAGTAACAGAGACGATTTAGAACTGGGATCGGAAACTGAAAATGCAGTGTACTGATGTGCATTTTATAGGCTCAGAAAATTGACTTCATCACAACAACAACAATGTGCTTTTCTTTCTGACCTTAACAATTTTTTTTCTGACTATTAACATAAGCCACAGTACATAAACTTCAAATGTTGTAACTGTCTAACATTTATGGTAAACTGGATAAAGCCAGAAAATGCTTCTGGAGAAGACGAAAGAATTTGTGGAATCTGGGACATGGAAAGACTAATTTCAGGGAAAATAATTTCACATTAGGACACAATTTCCTGAACCAAGAGTCAGATTATTTGTCCACACACTGAAACAGCCTCAAGTTGCGTCAGGGGAGGTTTAGGTGGCATATTAGGAAAAATTTCTTCACTGAAAGGGTTATCAAGCATTGGAACAGGCTGCCCAGGGAAGTGGTTGAGTCACCGTCCCTGGAGGTACTTAAAAGATGTGCAAATGTGGTGCTTAGGGACATGGTCCAGTGGTGGACTTGGCAGTGTTAGGTTTATGGTTGGATTTGATGATCTTAAAGGTCTTTTCCAACCTAAATTATTCTATAATTCTATGATTTCTGTAGTGCCAAAGTCCCCATAAACAGATTTTCACAGTCCTGTCCCCAGGTGAGAGAAAGCTCTTCCCATCTATGTAATTAGAAAGGCACCACACGCTGTGCTGCAGAGTGCCCGAGGAGACACCTTCGGAGGGAGAGTTCAGGAGGGCTTGAAACAGCCCCAGGGCCACCTGCATCATACAGGGTCAGGGAGGTCCCAGGGAGTTCAACATCGCTGCAACCTTCCGGATCAAGATGTGTTTTAGGCTTTATTTTACCAATGCAGTAACTTGACTTTTGGGTTCTAAGCTGGTTTGGTAGAAACAAATCCTGGTCAGCTCGAACTTTTAAAAATCTTTTCAGTACATTAATCTTGTGCAAGAAGACTACATGTGGCACTGCACATCTGTCCTTCTACAGCTAGTGCACGAGATGAAGTGGCCATAAACAGCGTATCGTATGTTCTCTGGGTAATTCAACAGAATTGCAGTTGTATGATTGCATTTGATCCAGATCAAATCTATATGACAGGGTAATGCATGCCTCTGATATGAATAACTAGGGGAACCGTAACATTAAAGATCCAGAATATGTAAGTCACAACTGTATGAGTATCATCCCAAATTCTCTGCTTGATTTATTTTTGAAATTAATTTACTTTTTTTCATTAATAATGGGGAGGGGAGAGGACACACACATGAAACCTCAGTTCTCTCCATATCCAAACATCAGATGTACTAAGTCAGGGCTACATGCCGATCAGCAGGATGCTTTTTAGTAACTACCACAGAACCTTTAAAATTAGTCTGAAGCATTTTATACCAACCTGGTCAGAGACAAAAAAAACTAGTCATAAACTGGTCATAAGAAACTGGTATTTCTTTTCAGCCAGAAAACTCCTGTGTGCCTGTGGCATGGCCTGGGAGGACCTCCCTTACTGGAAAGTCAAGCAGGATCTAACCTAGGCTAAAGATGCGACACACTTTTTCAGATCTTCATGTTACAACATCTGGTCAACTAATGCTACTTTTAAAAATCTTGGATTCATCTAAGTTATGAACACATAAAACAAAATACTGAACCTCACTTTTGCTCTTGTCAGTACTGAAATGTAGTATTTTAGGTATGAAGTTTGTAACCTTCCTTCTCAAGCATTAAGCCTCCATATTGAACTGACCATTTCATTGTGCTCAGTCAAAGACCATTTTTGCCCAATCTCTCACTCAGAAAATAGAATTTCCCCCTTAAGAATTAATTTTCCTCCAAAGCATAGACCTGAACCCTTCTTTTAGAAATGAACAGGAATTACTTATATCCCATGGTGAAGTAATCACGTTCGTGGAGAAAAGAGCCATATAAAGGATGCTGAAGTATGAAATTACTGAACCAGGGCAGCCTGTTTAGGAGATGAAGACAGCAATACTCCTTCACCCAACCTGGCTGGCCAGGGACAGCCTTCCCTTGGATGACTGAGTTTCAGCGTCTTTTTATTGCTGAGACAGAGAGCACAAGTCAACAGGGGGACTTTCCTTGCCCTTGCAGATTATCCTGTGAGTGATTCTGGGCTGAGCACTGCCCACCTTCACCCTGATGAAGAGGGTGTTTGGCTGTGGCTGCGCAGCAGCACCTGGTCCACTGGCCCCAAGTTGTTGCTGATTGGCTTCAGCCAAGCGCCCCAGGCAGCATCCCAAGCCTGCAGCTCCCAATCACCGAACTGTTTACTTGCCTTCTCAAAACATTATCTGATCATGCAAATCTCTCCACCTCTGCAGTCACCCCCCAGGCCATGCCTGGAGCTGCCCCACAACTTGTTTGAGCTGTGCCTGAACTGCAGTCCTGACGGCATCTCCAGACTCTTGCAACTGGATCTTTTGAGCAATTTCTTCTGCGCCTGCATAGACCACTTGATCCGTTGACTTTAAAAGACTGAAACTGTCACACAAGAGCATGATGTGCTAATGACTGATGTGCTGGATAAAGCCCCAAGCTGACAACACTGATATATACATTTTATATACTGAAAACTACTGTGCTTAGCAAGCAAAAAAAAAAAAAAACCAACCCACATTCAATTCTTAACTACTAAAGAGCTTCTCTGCTTCCAAATACCCCAGTCAATGCTGCTACTCCATGATAAATATTCTCTACGGACAGATCAAATTGTGGCCCCAAATATTTCTAAAAACGAGGTGGCAATAAGAAGGATGACAGTGCCAGCAACAAAGAAAATGATCTTGAGATTTGGCGTAGAAGTTATTCAAATAGGCTATACTGATCAGAGAAGGCACTGCCAACCCTAACCAGGAAAGATGGTAGAAAATCAAGTATCATTAAACAAAGATATCTTTCACATAATGGAAACTTATTTCTTTGCAGATTTTGCACCTACTCAGCAGAATCCCTGCAAGGACTGTCATGATCATGCAAACGTTCAAATAGTACCTTCTCACATCTGGAGGGAGAGGCAAACCTGAGGTGGTCCAAGGAGTGAAGCCACTTGCCTGGTATCATTATCTGAGAGTGAACATGGAGCACTGGGATGTGTGCAAAGAGAGTATTGATTGGCAGAGGGATGCTTCATCACTGCACAAATTCCCAGAGGTATATGGGGACGTAAGGCTGCTACACAGAGGTCAGCAGGTCTTGGTTCAACAATTAAACAGACGTACAACACAGTCATCAAAGGTAGCAGTTCAGATGGCAGCAGAGCACAGGCCCTACCAGGTAGCTCTGAAGCCAGGAAACAAAATCAAAGAGAGCTCCATCCTTGCAGTAATCAGGAAAAGATCATGCCCAGGCAGATGAGGCTAAGACCAAAAGCAGGATGACAACAACACGGCCCTTGCCTGACTGGGATTAGCAAAGCGGAAAGAAACAAAGTTTATGAGCAAGACAGATATGCAATGCTCTCCAGTGCAATGAATGAAGGCACAAAAGTGGAAACAAGCCTCTTTCTAATTAAGACAGCAAAAACTAGAGGTAAGAGACTGATCTGAAGCCCAGCTAAATGACCAAGAGGCCAATGAAGTTGCAATTAATGGGTTGCAAGGGTTGGGTGCTGGGTACAAGCAATTTCGCCTCCTCCCTCCCACCTGCCCAGCAAGTCAGTCCGCGCTGGCAGACAACAGAGGATAGAGGAGTTAAAGGCAGACGATAATGAAGAAGAAGAAAAAACATTGGCAGCAATTATGGAAGCACTGGAAAGAAGCATTTGGAAGAAGTATCAAAAAGTCAGTTCAATGTATGTATGTATGTGTGCAGGCTGAATACAATCTGTAGTTACTCATCTCTGCTTGGGCTTTTACCAAAAACCCATCCAAGTACAAGAAATAGTCTTCCGATGTTTGTTGACAGGTGGCAAAGGAAATGGTGGATGCCATTAATAGGGTAGCCCCACAGGAGCATTGAACATGGCTCTCAGGTTTCTGAGAAGCAGCTGCCAGCTCTCTGCGCCCTGTTACCTCGACAAGAGTAACCTATGTCCACGGGAGAAAGGTGGTCCTTCACACTATGTAGATGCACGGCCTCCTATGGTCCTGCCAAACATTTTGGGAACTGAACTGACCTCAGCCACATCTATAGAGTGGCGCTGAAAAAATTGTCTGAATCCCTCCCTTCAGCAAATTAGCTTTTTTTTAAGGTTATTTACAGTATATGCTCTTTCCAGCCCCATAGAGGGGATGTGACTGCTGGCAAGCTTGCCTGCGCTGGGACACAATCCCATAGTTTAATGTCAAGCCCTGCTCCATCCAAGGGAACATTCCCCAGAGTGTGAGCAGCTTCCTAGAGGGGCTCATGCACCAGCAGAAGACAGATAGCTTTTTCCAAATGACCTGTTTCCACATCACCTGAGCGTTTCATTGGATCCTCCAACGGCTCCAATAAGATGCCATTCACAGGAATAACACTACAACCCTTGGTTGAATATTCTGTGATTTCATGCTCTTTGCTGAAGGCATGGTGGCATTCTCCATCCTAATTTTTCTAAGAACATATAATGCTATGATTTGGTACATTATAAGGGTTTGAGGCAATCCCAGAAGGAAGTTATTTGAATTACATTAGCCAAAAGGGGAATTGAAATTGCAGTTTTGCACTTCCTCTATTGAGTCAGGCTGTCAGGCTCATACCAGAAACACCAAAGATACCTGTCAATAAAACCCAGATGTGATCTTCTCTACTCTTCCAATGCAATAGCCATTTTGCCTGACGGAGTTACTTGTTTTTTTGACTGTGGATATGTTAGTGTCGACACCCAGTTAGTGTCGAACAACTCACTTCATCTCACCATCATATCAAAGGAAGCTTTTACTTTGCT